TGAAGCCCCCCCCCTCCCCCTAGAGCCAGCCCAGCAGCAGAGCCAGAGCATGGTCGCGGCTCCGCCTCCACGGGCCCCGCTCTGCCACCCACCTGGATGTAGTCCACGGAGTCCCCGAGCGCCCGGAAGGCCGTGTACATCACCTCGCGCTTCCCCCCCCACTTCTGCAGGATGCAGGCGTACGTGCTGCTCCGCACCAGCTGCTGGATCTGGCCCAGGCCCCGGAGCCCAGGATCTCATTGAAGATCTCCAGCATGTAGGTGTCGTCCGGGCCGTTGCCATCCACCACCAGCACCACCTGGAGGCGGGGGAAGGAGATGCGCTTCACCGCACGCAGGCACTGCTTCAGGTAGTCCGGGTCCTCCTGGTAGGCGGCGATGCAGCCGTTGCCATCCACCACCAGCACCACCTGGAGGCGGGGGAAGGAGATGCGCTTCACCGCACGCAGGCACTGCTTCAGGTAGTCCGGGTCCTCCTGGTAGGCGGCGATGCAGAGGGCCACGGAGCCGGAGCGGGGCGGCTCCAGGGGCCGGTCCTGCGGCCGCATGCGCCGGTGCTCCAGGAAGGCAAAGAGGCTCTGGATGCAGAGGTGCAAGCCCAGGATGGCGCCGTAGAGGCCGAAGGAGAGGTAGTGCTTCTCCGTGTGGATGAACTGGTAGCCGGTGATGTAGGCGGCGAGGATGCCTCCCAGCACCAGCACGGCAAAGAGACTGGTTCCACAAACACGGAGGGCTGTCGTGAAGCTCACTGGCATCTGTCACAGAGAAGGGGCCAGAGGTCCTGTTAGGGGCACGGGGCAGGCGGAGGGCCAGGCCGGGGGCTGTCCAGCGGGGCCATGGACCCCTTCCTGCCGCCACCCAGCTGGCAAAGCAGGGGCCTTGCGTCTGGCAAGGCTCCCTTGGGGGCTGAAGGCAGGACCGGGGAGGGTGCTATAGCGGGAAACCGGGGCCTGTTCCTGGCCAGCTCCAGCAAAGGGGAAGCAAGTCCAGAGCCCTGGGCCAGCCTGAAGTGCACAGTCGGCTTCTTGCTGCCCTTGGGGCCAGACTGGCCACTCGGCCTCCCGCTACCCGGGCCCAGGCAAGGGGCTGCTGTCGCTCGGTGCCTGCGTTAGCCAGGGAGCCCTTGCAGCAGCCTGCGTGGCTCTGGAAGGTGCCATGCACACGGCTCGGGACATGCTCACTTCCCCAGCAGCGATGACCGGGCTGCCAGGAGAGCTGGCTAACCCCTCTGCAGGGATCCCGAACCCCCCGGCCCTGGGTGAGATTCACTTTCTGCTCCGAACATCCAGGAGCCGTTCCAGCCAGCTGCCCTCAACCCAGCTCAGGGCTACTGTGCCCTGCCCGCACGCCACGAGGAGAGC